CTTCCCGACCCCCACTCCAACGACACCGCTCAAGGCAGCGCTCCCCTCTGTGGATCCACCGGGCACCCACTCGACAGCCATCTTCTCCACTTGTATACAGGTTATTCAATTATGAAAAAGCGTAACAGTCTCAAGAAGACCAACAGATGTGGAACAATGTGGCATATTTGACTATCCACATAGACTATTAAAAACATCAGAACAGTTTCAGGACAAAGGAGCTGGAAACCAAGTCAACAGGCTTGCTCGATGCACACGCTGGGCTCGGAAAAGCTCCAGCATCGTGGAACACAGATGCAATGATGGCGACATCACAGCATATGCTTGTCTCAGCACTACAACACGTGCAAATCATGCCCAACTAACAAACACTACTCACTCAATACAAGGTATGCTTCAGCTTCACCCCCAAAAGTGCAACATACAACAGTCCCACCAGCTACGAGTCAAGAAAGTTTCCAAGCAAAACAGAAAAGCTGAAGAAAACCAGCCCGGAAATGGCTTTGGAGAAACCACGAGTGTCAGAAACGGGCCCTGGGCTTCCTCTGCCGCAGCAAAGCACCTGCCCCAAAAAGAAACGACGAGTCCTTCGGGAGGTCAGCGAACGCTGTGTGCTCTTTGCGCTGTGACAGAACGTACGATGCCTGACGAGAAAAAGCCTCTGAAACCCCAGAGGGGCAAAAAAAACCTAAAGCAAGAATGGGAAGACGCAATCAATCCACTGTTTAAAAAGCTCAGCTGAGGTGCAGACGGTAAGGAAAGCAGTTTCAAGAGACGTTCCAAAGGACAACGCACCTCAGATGCCAGACAGTTAACAGCAGCATGCAGGAATAGCCTGATACCCCTTCAGCTTCTCGTCTTTCCAAGGCGTTAGCTTACAGACACCATCCTAGACATCACATCTCCTGCATTTCACTGAAATACGGGGCGGGGTGCCTTCGACAAATTCAAGCTAACACCATCCACTTCTCCAGGATCTTCACTCAAACCCAACTCTAATCTATTTGACATAACATCTTGATTTGCTTTTGAGAGGGTAACTGAGTATTAGTTTTGGAAAAAAACCCACCAAACTTATATGTAAGTCATCTTAATGGCTGGAAGGGGAAAAAAACCCTAATTATATAATGCTGAAAAGTGATGCAAGGACAGAAAAAAATGCCTTATCACAAATGTCTGTATGTGATGCAATAAAATCTTTTTTTCAATCATGTTTCAGAACTAATTGAATTCAGAAACTTCCACTCACAATGCATTCTTAATGCATTACAGCCATCAAAGTAGTAATACAAAGTCTCAACTTTTTCAACTGTACAATCA